CTCAACGTATTTTTATTTACACTTATAGTGATCTTACTTAAAAATGAGTTGTATATATAAGAATACTTGGATGGGATGATCTTCTCCAATTACAGTATTGATATGAGGAACCTGAAACTGTTTTGTTTGCCCAAAGGAAGATCAGTTTCTTCTCCTGATTGAAAAACTGTTATATACACTCCAATCAGATAACAAGATTTTAATATGATTATATGATTGAAGAGCTCTTATCTATTAATTAAATTTAATGTGGAGGACAATGATATCATTATAGAGATTGCAGTGTGAATATAAGTTGGTTCTAAAAGATGTTTATCTCGCATCCCTATGAATTTCATAATGCATAGCAAAGTTAATTTTATTAGGTAGTTCTAGCTCTGCAATTTGCAATGTGAAACATTTTACAAACTGTAATTTAAATGAGCTGGATGAGAACGAAACAGTCTACTGAGCCTGCAAAATTATTGGTTCCCCTAACATGCACTGATTTGCAAGATCAATGATGCAGCACTGGCCCCCATACACTACAGTATGTAAGAAATCAGAGCCAAGCTCTTAGAGGTGAAATGTATTGTCAAGCTCAAATGCACATTATTCTTCTCTTCCCAACTCTTTTGTTCTTGAAATGGTGCAAGCTTTTCCTTCGTACAGAGCACTTGGCCAGGAATTTCACAAACGGTAAATCCTAGAAACACCAAGTCAGATCCAAATGCCCAATGTTTTGAGAACCACCACCACCCCAACACACACACACACTGGAACTGCTGACCTGCAGTTCATTGCATCAGGATACAACCAATGCATGTACGGGTTCTGGGAAGTCGGGGGTTGGGGAAGGAGGTGGGGGGTTGGGGGGAGGGTGGGGAGAGGGAGGGATATATACTAGGTTAGACACAATGTGTTAGATCTCAATGTAATGTGACTTCACATGTATACTGTTTTTCTTTAATTTCTCTTTAAAAATAGGATAAGCTAAGTACATTGACATATAGTGGAAATACACCAAGGGGAGGAGGAGTGGGAAAGAAGAAAGATGGATAGAGAGGGATGGGAGAGAGGGTGGGAGGGAAGGTGAGAAGGAAGGGAGGGAGTGGATCGGGAGAGAGGAGAGGTAGAGGGGGAGGGGAAGTAGGGTAGAGGGGGATGATGGAGGGAAGATAGAAAGTTGGAGGGGGGTGGAAGAAAGAGGTGTATGGAGAGTGGAAGAGGTATATTGGGTTTTTATTTTCTGGGGTATTGTTGACAAGAGGAATTGCTGCGATTATTGTTTAATGCTGTATGGTGATGGCTATGCACAGTATATATGTGAGTGTATGAAAATGAAAATGAAAAAATAAAAAAATACTTGGGGAAAAAAAAGGATACAACCAATGCAGCTGGCCAGAAAAGGTGCTGCGACTTGTTGGCTGTTTTTGCACAATGCAGCAATTCCCATAACTGACATAACTCTGTGCTCCAGGACTGCACAATGACTTGAGTCGCTTGTAGTTCTCCCAAGTGCTGGTAGTTTTTATTGGAGACATAACAAGACTGTGATGGCGAATCTATGGCACATGTGCCCAAAGTGGCATAGGAAGCCATGTTGCCCAGCACGCGTGGCCTTGCCTGTTTGTCTTTTAGGTTTCTGGGGTGCATATGTGCGCAACGATCAGCTGTCCTTTCTGCACATGGCAGTGCTGAAAACCGGCCTGCACATGGAAGCCAACCAGTTGATTGTTGGGTGAACCCAGAAGTTTGGCTTTTATGGAGCGTGACTTCAACAAGTGTGTGCGCCAATGTCCGTGCGACCTTTTCAGTACTCGGTGCCAAAAAGCTTCGCCATCACTGTAACAAGATAAACAACTCATTTATGCCATTTTGTTTTACTTTGTTTAGTCTGCCAAAAACTTTAAAAAATCTGCAGTGGTATGATCATAGACAGTGCCACTACCGATGAGTTTAACCATCCTTACTCATTTCCATCCAAATGGGTAAAACCCCCATTTTCACCCCACCTGTTTGCCCTTCATATGTTGGAGGGAAGTTAAACCTGCCTCAACGTCCGATCAAGGCAAAAAGGATGAGTTAGGATCTTCAGATAGGATGATCACACAACATAGGTGTAGCTAGGCTGACTGGAAAAGAGTTGGTTTAGCCCCAGACAAATTCTATGGATTGGCTAGGCTAATTAATTGAGGTCTGAAGTGTGCATAACACATTAATCTACTAGTCATGATTCATATTAGCATGCCATTGACAGGCAAGATTTGTAACTGAAACAAGAGGGCAGGAGACATTTACATTTATAAGAGAATAAAATATATGTGAAGCTCAGGATTGAACTGTGGAATTATTGGTGCTCTCTGACCTTGGTTGTTTGCTTGCAGACATTTCATTATCTAACTAGGTAACATAATCAGTTGCTTTATATTACAAAAGGCCAAGAGAAATTTGCCTATTTTGCTGAGAAGCATGTCAACTGCCTGGTTTTATCTCCCCTGTTCTGCATTTTCAGTAGCAGTTTCCCTTTCCTTTTTTGGCTTGGATTTACTGTAGATCTACCCACAGAACAGTAACCCAGAGAATCTCTCAAGTCAAGCTCAACTGCAATGACTTTTTGTAGTTTTCTTGGGCCATTGGTTCATATAACTCAATACTGAGCACAGCAGCATTTCTCAATCTGGTGTCCTTCAAGTCTACTGAACTAGAAGTCATATTATCCTCAATCACCTGCTTATAGTTCGTAGCAACAGCTTTCCAAGTTTTAAGTCTTAGGGAAGCTTCCTAACCTACTTTCAGATCTTCGTTTTTGAATCTTGGACCCTTTTGTAAACCAAATAGATGTTTTAGCAGGCAGGACTTCTTTGATTTGCTAGAGCAAGAAGGATTCTCACTTTGACCAGGTTGGAACAAAGAAGTGAGTAATTGAGAGGCCACAGATGATACAAGTCATTATGGTTATAATGCATTGTGCTGTTCTAGAATTGTACTGTCTAATATAATCTTAGAGTATAACAGATATTTTGGAATATTACCAGCCTGTTTCTTCCAAAGGAACTCTTCTCCAAATACTTGCATTTCCTTTTTCACTTCCACTGGAGAACATTGTAAAGATTAGGGTTGAATTTCTGAGATTAATCTATTCAGCCAATTCCAACTGGGTCTTTATCAAGGTGGGATCTATGTAGTAAAAGGTTTAGTGATGTTTTCAGAGGCTAAATCTTGATGCAGACACACCTATAACTCAGTGGTGGCTTTTGCACATGTGTCTGCGTGCGACACTTCTGCACATTCGTAGAAGCTTCTGTGCATGCAGAGAAGCATCTGGATGGGTAGGTGGAGCCTCCCGCCACTGCGACTACTGTTTCCCCCAATCCGGGCCAAACCAGGAGCAAGCCACTATAACTGTTGACCTATAAGTATTTAAAAATAAAGATATGAAATAGCCTTTTCTGGAAGGAGACAGAAATTTAAACCTTCCCTTGGTTTCCCAAAGGCAAAAACCAAATCTACAGTATGTAACATATGAAATTGTTCAAACCTTCCATCTGTTTCTGTGTTATAATGTTGGAAGAAATGTCCATCTGGGTTCAGTTCCAAGTGGGGAGAAAGACACTGGAAACATGGAGGCTTATTGGAAGGATGGTTTAATGGTGAACAGGACCATATGGGTTTGAAGTCCTGAGTAGCTGGCCACATGGAGTGGAAAGTGAGTGTTATTTATACCCTCTCTTGGGCTTTGAACTTGAGCTTCCTGTTCCTGTGGCAAGGGTATGTATCCTATTGGTTGCAGACTCCCATGTGGAGTCATGTTTGTCAGAATCAAGTTTGATTGAACCTTGCTGGGTGATGTAATGAAGGAATTTGGTTGTGCCATGTGGTGAGCTCTGCTAATAGATAATCCTATTATGTCCTGGAGAGTCATGCTTTAATCCCATCATCCTGGAGCTGAGGTCTTTTGTTTTGTATATAGGCTGGCCCAGTTCTCAACCAAATACCTGCTAGGGGCAGGGAGCTGGGGCTGAGATTCTGTCTCCAAGAGCATGTTTCTCAATTTCTCATCCAGAGAAATATAATATTCTGCCTTTTTAATATTTCCAAAAATAATTCATTCTTCCAGGAGGGGTAGGTGCTAACTTTCTTCAATAGTAATAGCACCAAATGCAATATATGTATTTAGAAACATCCGTTTATATCAGGGAAACATTAAGTTATAAAAATGTGCTTTGGCAGGAAATGTAGTCATTAAAACTTTCATCTGTCCAAATATTTCAAATTGGAAATATTCCAATTTCCTTACTGTATTTATACTGCTGCAGGGAACAAAATAAGATGAATTTACTTTATTTCAATTTGCACCTTATTATAACCAACCTGATTGGTGACTTAGTGGCTAAGATGCTGAGCTTGTCGACCAGGCAGGTCGGCAGTTTGGCAGCTTGAATCCCTAGTGCTGCATAATGGAGTGAGCTCCCGTTACTTGGCTCAGCTTCTGACAACCTAGCAGTTCGAAAGCATGTAAAAATGCAAGTAGAAAAGTAGGGACCACCTTTGGTGGGAAGGTAACAGCATTCCATGAGCATTCGTCATTTAGACATGCCAGCCACATGACCACGGAGACATCTTTGGACAACGCTGGCTCTTCGGCTTTGAAACGGAGATGAGCACCACCCCCTAGAATCGGGAACAACTAGCACATATGTGCAAGGGGAACCTTTACCTTTATTTCAATTTGCATCTTATTATAACCAACCTGAGACATTTATCTAGGTAGTTACAGAAAACAATTAGATGCAAAATGATCAAAATCACCACTCCAGGCAAATGTCAATGATTATATGTAAGTATACTCAAATGGGGCAGGGTGGGGTAATTGTTTTCAACAGTCTTGATCTTCACTTGCTGAAAGAAGTGTAAGGTAATGAAACCATGAGGGCTTTAGGACCCATGAGAGTCTGCCAAAGCAGGAGGTGGAATGCTATAAGCCAGCAAGAGTCCAAGTGTTAACATCAGAGCGTTTGTAGAACCTTAAAGAGAAGGGTTGATGCACAAGCGAAGCAGAGAGCAAAGTCATGGATTGCTTCCTACATCTGATTTTCTACTTTCAGCTGGTGCTCTCTGTCACTACGCTAGGTAAGACAATTGGCTGTGCAGGGACATGTTAACCTTTTGTGTGTGGAGTTTCTTCCTGGTGACTTTTTTCATCTTACCTTTTGAGATTTGAAAAAGAAGGAAAAGGGGGAGAAAAGAAAAGAGAAAATATTTAGGCAATAGAGATACTGACTGAGAGGTTAGCTGGTAAATATTGCAATGAGATGTAAGGGGAAGGGAAGGGAGGATATGCTGAGTCTTGGGTTATCAAGAGAGGAAAGCAACTCTAACTTGTACCTGGCAATTCCGAACGGGGTGGGGGGAGATAATCGAGCCCTAGGTAAGCCTTGAATGGAGAGTCTTTTAGCTATTTCTGAGAGGAATAACAGATTGCAGGGAAGAATTCATTGAAAGAGTCTAATCGGAGAAAGCTGGTGAGGGGTCTTCTGGCATGAGTGTCTGTATAGAGAGAGGGGGGAAAAGAGCAAAACTTTGGTAAAATGGCTTGGATGCGGGGAAAGGTTGTTGCGATATCAGCAGAAGGATAGTGGCATCTGGTGGATGAGGAAAAAAGCTTTGTTAAGTATCGGGAGGGAAAAGAGGGTGACAGCCACCCGGGGGAAGGTATATAAGAGGGAGTATCAAATAGAAACTCTACTCAGCTTTGTTCACTATTGTCGGGTTTTATTCTGATCCTCACCAGGAGAGATTCCATTTAAATACGATGGATTGGATAACTAAGAGAGGGGAAAGGGTTGGAAGCGTGGAAATAAAACAAAACATTGCAATTTGAAAGGTGGCTATGAGGTATAAAAAATAAGTTAATTATTATTTTATGTATTACATTTTTTTCTCTCTACTTTTTAGGTAAGGAGCCTCCCAAAACAGTTTATAACTTTTAAAAACAATCTATTGTAAACCCTTAATATTGTAAGGGGAGGCTTTAAAAGATAGAATTTTGTTACAATATTGTGTATTTTACAATAGCCACCAGCCATCCTAAGGAAACCAAAATTGATTATCCAAATACTAGAGCGTCAGCAGTTTGCATTGTAAGATTATAAATGCCTTTGGGTAGAGAGACCTGCTGATGTAATTTTTTTTAAATTCATATTTTAGCTATTTTTTTCTTGCTCTTTTATTTGTCACTGAAGCTGATTTTTTATAAAATGAGGAGAGAACAGTGTCAATATTTTTAGGAACAATTTATTTTGTGGGCATTCTTATGTATTGTTTCTGCCAAACAAATTAGTTATGTGTATGTGACACTATGATATTAATATTTTTATTGTGAGGGGGAAAATGATAAAAACTGCACATTATAATTTGTTAATTTGGCATCTGTGGATCTTGATCTCCCCAATAATTAAAACTCAACTAATCTCCCGAATCATACAATTCTAAGCAAGCTATCATTTCAACAGAAGAAAATATATAGCTCAAGGTTGAAGTGTGGAGTTCTTGATGCTCTCTGAGCTTGGTTGTTTCTTTGTTGGTTGTAAACTCCCCCCCCCTTTCTCTTAAGGATGCTATTTCATTCTTTCAATGGCCACAGAGGTTTGCCTGTGAAATCTGTTCCTTTCTAAACTGTATGTGGGTGCCTAGTTGGTGTAAATGCATCCAACATGGGTCAGAAGTGTTGAATCTTCCATTTCCTTGCAATTTCCCCAGGCTTCACTTTGTCTTTTTAAAATATTAATATGTTAAATGTGGAAAGCAGAAAGGAGCACCCAGTAAGGAAAGGAATGGTCCTTTTTAAACTAATTGTTTTAGACTTGGCAGGAATGGAAGCTGCTACCTAAAAATTACAGATTGTACTCTTGGGTGTAAACTTTCATTTAGAAAACCAAGTATTAAAGCCAGTTTCTCGTTTATATGATGAACAAAACTAGGCTTGGATTTCTGAGAGGAAGTCTTCTGAAACAATAAAATCAGGAGAAAATGAAGGAATAATTAGAATATTAAAAAAAGTCAGAGAAAGAATGTAGTACTGTCATTGCCTCTCTATTTGCAAAGTCCATCAAGCAAAATTTGGAAACCTGCATTGTATGTACTAATTCATACTCTTCAGCACTTTTATAGTTGAAAGTAGAGGACTTCCGGCAAAGAATGGCAGATTGAAGATAGCTCCATGTAAAATTGAGTAATTGTGGCTAGGAACTGAAGAATAGATTGGCTCCTTCAACCTTCTCTGGAAAGTAGAGATGTGAGATTGCCGGAGATGTGTTGTGCTCCAAACAATTGCTCCTTCCAAGGAGACGGCAAGGCAGCAGTCTTTAAAGGATGGAAGAACTGGGAGATATGGGGATTTGCCAACCTTGCTCCAGCTACAATCAGAGCCTTCCACAGGACAATTAAGTTCACCCATTAATTGCTTTAAAGAAGTTAGACAACTTCAAAATGACAAGGCTGGAACCACTGGGTATTTCTTTCAATCCTTAATGTAAGAAAATGAAATGGTATCTTTAGGAATTTGTAATAAACAAGAAACAGCAAGAGTTTGGCCATAGAAAGTTTTAAACATGCTCAGAACTCAGAAAGTATTGTACTATTTTATTTTGAACTATTAAGATTTTGAAAATAATTTTAAAGAATAAATGGATTTTCATGTGATATAAATTATTTAGATATTGAAGACATAGCAAGATAAGCAACCTCTAATGATTTTCAGAGGCATTCTTGAGGAATGAGTCAATATGGTCAGCTGTATTGTATTTTCTTAGAAACAGCCTGTTGCCAGAAAAACAAGATATGCAACAAAGTCTATCTGACAACAAGGTGAACAAGAATTTGTCATTAGATTAAAAATCGGATGGAGCTTTAAACATTAAGAAGGACATAAAAATGACAATCCCAGAGAGCAATTGGCATAAATTCTTCTTGGAAAGGAAGCTTTTTAAAGTTTTGAAGAAATTCAAGCAAGGATCATAATCATCTGAATGGATTAAAGAGAAAGATTGCTATGCATAAAAAGGAACACAAAGTCAGTTTATTTGATCAGGGTTAAATGGATTTTTTTTTGTTTTGGATAGTTTTCTTTGGATGTGCTGACCTCTAGAATAGAAAAAAAGTTGTGTATTAGATTTGCTTACTGTTAACATGGTGTTTAAGACTCCCCCCCCCTACAGTTACTCTATGTATACTAATTGGATAGCATTTAAGTTGGTGCTGTATGTGATTGTACTTTCACTTAAGGTAAAGGATTCTTATGAGTTTGTTTTCTGTAGAGGAAAAATTGTCCCAGTTTGCTATGTTAAATTTCACCCTTTAGTCATACTAGGATATTAGGACCATTTTTGCCCTTTAATTGTAAATTTGCTTACAGTTAGAAGTTGAGATGTGGTATGATGAGTTGTTTGTTAGTATTATTTTAGGACTCTGGACTTTTGCTATCATCTGGCGAACATTATGTATTAGATTTGCCTATAGTTAAGTGTTGAGTTGTGGGGTGAAGAGTTTTATATCTGCTAATTAAGAAGTGTGAGATGGTGTGTCAGTCCTCCCAGGTAAACCAGACAGAAGATACACTTAGATGAGCCAAATCTATATCTGTAGATTTCTAATCTACATCTGATTAAAAGAATCTTGAAAGTCTGAAGACACAAACTTTCCACTGCCACTTTTAACCATCTGATCAATTAGTCTTTCCTAAGCTGCTTTCCCTGATTGTTAAGTCATTGGGGGAAACCCCCCTCGCTTGCCTGATTGTTTCCTAGGCAGCATTTCTTTCGCTTATCCCCCAAAGTCATTCACACCTTCCGTTACATAGTGAAATTGTTTACAATTGTGATGAAGGTTGAAAGTCAATTTTTAGGTCTTTTTCTTTTTCTATTTTTTATTTTTTTGCACAGTTTTTTATTCCTTTTTCAGTTTGAATTGTCTTTTACTGTTAAACAAAAGTTTGATTTTTTTTAAAAAGTGGAAAGAGAAGAATGTTTATAACTATTATACTTTTTTAAAATGTTGAATTTCCCTTTATTACAAATGTCAGAACAAACCCTTCCTTCCTTGCTCCCCTCCTCCCTCCCTCCCTCCCTCTTCCTTCCTTCTTCCCTTCCTCCCTTCTTCCTTCCTTCTTCCTTCCCTCCCTCCCTCCCTTCCTAGCATTTATGAATGCCATCACAATATTCTTGCTAGAGGTTAAAACTCTATCAGGAAAAAAACTTTGTCTTAATACATAAACCTGTAGATAATATCAATGCAATAAATCAAATGTATCTAAGCAATCACATGGTGATTTAACCTAGAGAACCTGTAAAAAAAAAGTGTCTGTGTGTGTGTGTGCGTTTGTGTGTGTAATTTTAAGGAACGAAATAGATAGTAAAGTCACTGAAACCAAAAGTAAGCAGGGTTTCCCACAAAGAATATGAACAGAAAAATAGCAAAGATAGGGTTAAAAAAACACAACCTCTCCTGTAAATATTTAAGGATCATAAGGTATGTAATTGCATTAATTTGCCCTAATTACAGAATTTGGCTTTCTTTCATACTTGGCAGGTGGCAACAACACTTGGCTGGTGTTGTATGAATATAGAAATTTTATCAACAAGATTGCATCTGGCTAAGATGTCACTGTCCTCCAATAATTATAGGCCATAGGCTAGACTGGGCAACTGATAAAACATTACTGAAAATGGCATTGGCAAAACCACTTCTATTGCCAAGAAACATCCATTGATTTTTTAAAAAAAATATACTTTTATCAGTAAAAAAGTATCAGCCTGAATCTGGTTTCTTTTTTGTCCTTCTTGTTGTTACCAACATATACTAAAGGAATAGTGGGGTTTAGAGCTTTGGTGGGGGAAAAGGAAATCAAATATACCTGCATAAAACAAAATATCACAAAAGAAAAAGAAGGGGAAGATGTCAAATTACATTTTAAAAAACACAGGAAGACCTTATAAATAGCACATGACAGGTTACATAAGTGATCCATCTCCAAAGCACAAAAGAAGTTATAAAACAGAATCTAAAAAAGGTCAAGATGAATACTATTACTATTTAGAAATGGGATTCCTCTGTTTTTCATTGGTACATTTTGT